CAGGCAGCGCAGCTCCGTGCGGAAGCTCTCGTTCAGCCAGCAGTAGATGAAGGGGTTGTAGCAGGTGCTGCTCATGGCAAACCAGTGGAAAGCAAAGTACAGAGCGTTGCTGCTGTGGATGGCCCTGCAGGAGAGCAGCACTACGTAGCAGTTGAGGGGGAACCAGCACACGGCAAACACAACCACCACCACCATCAGCATCTTCAGCGTCATCTTCTTCTTCCTCTGGTGGGCATAGTATTGCTCCATGGTGAGGTCCCCGATGGCGTTCCTCAGCCAGAGCTTTTTGGCCACTATGGTGTAGGTGATGGAGATCACAAGCAAGGGCAGAACGTACAAGAGAACAAATGTAGTCAGGTCCAGGTACTTCCAGAAAAGATCAGCAGGAGGAGGGAAGCTGGGGAGGCAGACCATTCGGATGGTTCTGTTTCTGGAGATCAAAGAGAAAGAGCTCTCAATTCCACTAGCAGCTGCACACATCTGAGGACAAAGAGCCCAGACACTCAGACAAGTTTCAGTACAGGTACGGGTGGCAGAACTCATTTGATGTCATAGGAAGGTGCCACTTTCAATGGAAAATTTTACTCTAGGTCTGACCTTTAGCTCCAGTGAAGGTTATCTTAAACAAATCCCCAGGAAAATAAAGAAATCATCCATATTGGCATCTGTATCCTCTGCTCACAAAGGGGCTCTCTCCCATGTGCCTGCCCCAAATTACATGGTTGAACCTCTGAGCCCAAAACAGCTAATGAACCAACCTGGAAACAATTCCATTGATTTTCATTGTCCCTTTGTGACAGACACAGCACCCATGTGAAGGGAACTAAAACTTCTCTGTTTGACCACCCTTTCTGCTCTAATGACATGGATGGAGAGGTGTGGCCTTGGCTTATCTGGGGCTCTGCAAATATCATACAACAAAAAATACGTAAATGTCTTACCCAATATAAAACCTTGTCAGAGTCTGATAAATGGCGTGGGGCAATGAGAAGCAGCTGGCCATGACCCAGATGATGATGATGCAAATCCCTCCTTTCACCGTGGACATACGTGGCTTGAGAGGGTGCATGATCACCTGCAGAGAACAGCAACTCCTGAGGATTTACAGCGTCTGGGTCACTCTTTGAGCCCTATCTTGCATGTGGCATGCAGCAGCATCTCCACATCTCTTCAGTGTTAAAAGGCAGAGATTCACTTTGCAGGACTTCAGGGAGCACAAAGGCTGGGAAATGCATGGAGTTGTGCATATATTGGATGTTACTGCTGGCCCAGAGCCTGAGCAGAGAAACACATTCTGTGTGACCCTCAGAGACTCCAGAGACCGCAGTAGTGAGATCTCTGTAGAGCTATATGCACTGGGGAGGATTACCTTAGGCAATGAAACAGTAATTAAAAATAGACCTATCATGCCATCCAGATGATCGCTTGGCTGATGAGGTCTTTGGTATTTTATGCATGTCATTTCTAGTCCCATTATAAATACCTACTTAATCAAGTAGTACAGCTCCCCCAGAGTATCTGTCTGCTGTGGAATTTCTCAGGATTAGCAATATTTATAGAGGCAAGTGTTAGTTTCTCTTTAGTCCAGGACGTCTCCTCACTTCTGTCTTTATCTCTTTGAGCCATACTAGTTCATTCCAGCCCTGAGGAACCCCCTCCACTGAATTTAAGGACATGTATTGTTTACCCTTAATTAAACACTTACTGATATCTAGCCATGCTTTGCAATCAACCCAGAATCTACAGATTAAAATTAATCACTGTCAAAGTGCTTTGATTTCAGGAGCCGTAATATTGCATATGAAATGGGCAGACTGTCAAACTCTTTGTGGTAAAAGGGACAGAAGTGGCTGATTTCTGCTTTGGCAGTCCTCGTGATTCTCTGACACCAGGTGGAGCCAGTTCCTGGTCTGAAGTTCATCCAGCCACGGCATTTACCACCTGAAGTTGCTTTTCTGTAGCAACTGTTTCAGTGACTCCAGCACTGCAAGAAATCCAATCTACCTGAGAGCTCACCTTGCTGGATCTGGCCTCCCAGCACTCAGCACTCATCAGCTAAAGAACAAATTACAAACTCTGTTTCACTTAAGGAAACACTTCAGTCTGTACTGATTGCTTGACTTGAAAGGTTTTCCTGGCTGGTATCAGGGCTGGAGGAGGAGAGAATTTCTTACCACGAACTGGATGAGTTAACATAGTTCTTACTGTTTCCAGCCTAAGGCGAGGAATGGGGCAAGCATCAGAACAGACAGACTCTCATAAATCTGTGTGCAGAGATCGTGTGGGCTGGCTGATGTTTGAATTCAGCACTCATTCCCTGTGCTCTGAGGCAGGGCTGAGGAGGGCAGGGAGCCCACAAGCCCAATGGCTCAGGCAGAGCAGGGCTGGACCAGGCTCTCTGGCACTGATCTGAGTTTTCAGAATCTCCAAGAACAGACTCCCACTAACCACAACCTCTCTGGACAGCCCATTGCAGTATTTCATCACCCTCACTGTAAAAACCATCGGTGTTTTGTCCACTGCCATGAAAGGTGGAGTTCTCCCCTCTGTTCCCTGAGTCCCAAGACAGTGCAGGTTTCAGGCACTGGGATTTGAGGAGGAAACAACTGTGTATTTAGCACATTACTTACTAGCAAGCACAGGAGTGGTGTTTTCAACATACCTGGTGCCGGTCCAGTGCGATGGCAGCGAGGGTGAGCACAGACACGTGGACAGAGCAGTACTGAACAAACCGGCTGATGTGACACATCAGCTTTCCAAACACCCAGGTGCTGCTCACAAACCTCACCTGAAGAACAGACAACATCAGATTAAGAGGAGCAGTACTGAAGAGAAGCAAATTGGCTTCCCGGGTGCTTTAATACAGCTCCCTGAGGCTTTGGAGGGGCTTCATGCTCATTTTTTCCTAGGGAAACAGTGACTGTGCAAAAGGGTCTCAAAGTGAGGTGAGACTTACTGCACTGTGCAAACCAATGGCTTGAGCAGTGCTCTGTGCATGTTGTGTACATGTGTACACTTGTAAATTTACCATGGCCCTTCTGGAACACATAAAGAAATCTTAGCTCTGAGGCTAAGGCTCTGCAGGGCACACTAGGTGCCTCCCAGAAAACATTATACCTTTGGATGCTGAAAGCTGCACAGTCTCCAAACTTAGTGAGAGAAATCCATGGAATCCATCTCACCTGTTCCCAGAGAGGTCTTACTGATGATGGCTTTTCTGCAGAGGAGGAGAATGTTCCAAATTGCCTCATTACCTTGTTATTCCTGACTGTGTAATATTAATTACAAATTAATGTCACTCATTTTCCTGCAGATTAAGCTAATTTGAAGTAAAGTATATTTACTACAAAGCATCTGTCCACAGAAAATTAGACCAGCTAATCTGTTTTCAATTAGTCTAATTAATTTCCCTGTAGGGGTGACTCTTGCAGCATTGACTGTCACTGAACTGGAGCAGTGTGCTGGATCTCTGGAGCTGGTGCAAAACTCATTCCTGAGAGAGCTTATAGAAATTTAATTACACGTGCCCAGTGTGTGGCTGTTTGTGTGTGAACACACAAGAGGGCACCAGGCTCTCCCTGAACAAATTACTGGATGCAAATCCCATCAGAGCAAGGCAGAGAAGTCCCACCAAAGAAACAGCATCCGTTTAAGAAAGGATGAATTCCAAGAACTAATTCAAAACCTGCTTTTGGAAGGCTGAAGAGCGCTCTGGGCAGGATGAAGCAGGAGGATTTTGAACTGGAGTGCTGGGTTAAATCCAGGAGCAGAATCCTGTGTACAGGGCATGTATAGTCTGTGACAGTGGGGGAAGAAATTAATCTTTCATTTTTCCCACCTCATTCATTTAATATTCTTTTATATAATATATTTATAATATTATTTTATCTCATCTATTTTTTAGTCACTGAAAATAAGAAAAGGACCATTAACCCCAGGAAGCACTGTCTGTAGTGGCCGAGGGAGGGACATGCCACCAACACTGTTCAGTGCAGCCTGAGCACTTCCCTGAGATGTTGCACAGGGACTGACCTGGTTCATGTTGTTTCCATAGGAAACCAGCCATTAGTTGGATTTTCTTGTGTCAAACTTGTCCCCACTTCCTTCCCCATCTACAGGCAGAAAGGGCTCCCAGATCTGTGCCTTGCCCAGGCAGACGGGGAAGCTGCAGCAGAGTGAGCCCTGCAATGACTGCGAGGAGGGGCTGTGAGCCCCCAGCTCCACTTGCTCAGGGCGTCTTTGGGATGGGGCCCATGACTGCACCCTCTCCAGGAGGCAAAAGGGGAATGGGGGCAAAAGTAAGTCTGTATCCCAGCCTGGTCCCTGCCCCTCAATCCCAGTGCACACACTGACAGGCACACACAGACACCGGCTGGACGGGGCTCACCAGTGTGAAGGGGGTGTTCAGGGTGGTGATCATCACATCAGCAACAGCCAGGTTGACGATGAAGAGGTTGGTGGCAGAGTGCATCCTCTTGTTCTTGATGACCACGTGGCACACCAGGGTGTTGCCAAAGAGGGAGATGCAGATGATCACAGAGTAGGCGACGATCAGCAGCGCCTGCACTGTCCGGCTCTGCGACTCGCCCTCGTACTTGGCTCCGCTGTCAAAGTCCCCCAGGTCCTCCAGGTTCAAGTCACTGTGGAAGAAGGACTGGTTGGGGAAGCCGTACAGTGCAGAGAAGAAGCTGGTGGTGTTGTGGTTCTCTGCTCTCCAGAAGGGCTTGGGCATGTACTGCAAGGGGAACCAGGTGTGCTGTCTCATGGCTGGGGCAGCTGAACCCTGGTCCAGCCACTCTTGTCAGCGCCTTCTGCCAGCTCAGCTGCTAAAGCCAGTGGTTGCAGGAGGGAACACACACACTTGCCTTTTCAAAATCTGCCCCATGGTTGCAAATTAGAGAAAAGGATTGATAAATGGGTCCTTCTGCCTGTGCTGGGGACACATCAGCTTCACCTCAGAGGCTCCCTGTAGGCTGTCCTTAAATCCCATATGTTCCCCTCAGAGGTGCTGATTCAGAGGCTGAAATATCAGAGATGCCCAAACTCTTTCTCTCTGCACCAAGGAAGAAATCTTAGTGAATAATTCCTTTTGGGCACTGTTCTTCTTCAATCTGCAATTTATCCTCTAAAATCTGCTTTCCTGGTTCTCCACACAGTCCTTAATCCATCACGTTTCTGTTTGCCAAGAGTTTTCAGAGCTTGGCAGAAACAAAAAATCATGGGCTGTGTTTCACTTTGCTTTTCCCCCTCCAAGTATCTCTGACAATTCAGTGAAGCAGCTTTGCAGAGCAGCAGAATGGTCCCTGTGTTCCCTGTGATATACACAGCTGCCAGATGACACACTGCACAGGAAGGAGCCAATGGCAGATCTCTTCCCAGTTTTTCCTGAGGTGTATCACAACCCACACGTGGGTAACAGCACAGCCTGACATGTGCAGATCCAGAGAGCAGCAAAACACAGACAGAGGGTGGATGTGCTATGATCTCCCCTGTCTGCTCTCTGCTCTTTTCTGGACCCCCAGCACAACTGCTGCATGGGGGTGAAGCATCTTCACCACGCTGTGGCACCTCTCTTTCTCTTCATCCCAGAGTTCTAGCAGAGAACATCTGAGGGCCTTGTGCTCGGCCCCAGCCCCTTCCTGCTCATGTGGTGCAGAGGACGGAGTGGAAAGTGAAATCTGACAGTAGGAGCAGCAGCACAGCAAGCACGGGGGGCACCCAGGATGGGCAGCTCCCCTCTCTGCATCCCGGCTGGGCTGGGGTCTGGGCTGACCCCAGGGCACTCAGGCACCTCTGGCATCTCTGCAGCAGCCTGGCAGAGGTGCAGGAACACACAGGGCTCCATCCCTGGGCTCCTTTGCTGTGTATGGCCCCAAAAGGCCCCTTTGCCATTTCCCTGCCTTTTCCCTGCTGTGCATCAGGAGGGAGAGGGGCACAGCAGCACTTGTGTTTTGTCCACTGCCATGAAAGCTGCAGTTCTCTCCTCTCTTCCCTGAGTCTCAAAACAGGGCAGGTTCCAGGTACTGGGATTTGAGGAGGAAACATGCACATGCATGAACCCAACAGCAGTGAGATGTCCCAGGTGCCAGAGGGGGTGACTCTCATCCCATATTCCTGCAGAGCAGATTTATTCTCTTGCAGGTACAAGCACTTCAGCAATCACATGCTGGTTTGCTGCAGTTATTATTCACTTGCAAACATCCTGAGCTGCTCAAAGCAGGATTTGGGGCTCATCATGCATTGGTGCTGGCTCCTTTCAGGCAGACAGACAAAGCAAGGGAGAAATGCACTTTTGCCAAGTCATCCAGGTGCATTGTGACCCCCCTTGTTTCTGCAGAAGATTTTTGGCTTTCACATTTTGGCTTTTCACTACTTGAGACACAAATTATTGGAAATTTTCATTTTTGTGAGATCATTTAGTATTCTCCTTGTTAGTGCTCTTTTGAAAAGAAATATCAGATTGCTGAAAATTCACTTGAGATGCATATCCACCATCTGAACAGACCTAATGTAATCTCATCAGGAGATCAATGTTGATGAGGGCCAGAGAAATCAGAGCTGTACTATAAAAACTCAGATCCTTGGGAACATGAAATCACTAGATTTCAAGCATTTTCACACGACATTGCCATGGTTCATTGCCTTTGCCCATGGAGGCCAAGGGGCCTGTTGGGAACAAGTCCCTGAGCTCAGTGCGTTCATGGAATCTTTCCTCTACTTCCCTCCAGGGAGTTTTTCCTGCCTGACAGAGAGAAGTGAGATAATTCAGCAGTCACACTCATTGTACAGCATGTAAAAGCATCCAGGGTCGAGGCTGCTTGCACTTGCACCTGAATTTAAGCTTATTTTAAGGAAATGAATTCTAAAGACATGATTCATCTCCACTACTGGACAAAATTTAATGATGAGGCAAATCATAATAGCAGTGGAGATTTTCTCTGCAGGCTGTTACTACAGGCTCAGTGGGTACCTGCATTCAAATGCTTGTCCCTGTCTGCTCCCACGAAGATGTACAGAAAATGCTTTCATCACTGGAGTATTGAGCCCAAAAACTGAATAAAGTTGTCCCCACAGGTCCCTGCAGATTGTTGTGTTTCATATTTATGAGGTATGTAAAGGCTTCACAAGAAGGCAGATGAGAAATCCTGTGAACCCGAGGCCACTACATTAAAACTTTTCCTAATGCAGATATTCCCATCATGTTCCAGCTGTGGATTTTTTTGTTTTTGCCTTGGTCTTCTCCCTCCATCCTTCCCTGAGCTCTACTCCTGATGCTGAGTGTGGGCTCCCCATGTCATCAGGAAAGGAGGTGAGAGCGCTGGAGATAAAGTGCTGCTCTGCTTTGGATCTGCACTCAGGACCCCCAGAGCTGATGCCCAGAGCACCCACCAGGAGATTCCAGCCCCTGAGAGAATCCTCTCCTGCCTGGCAAAGCTAAACCAAGGTCTGCTGGTGCAATAATCAGATTTCTGGGCTGAAAAAGAAAGTATCTCTGCTCTGCCATTCAGAGCTGAAAGCAGCTGGAAGCAGACACGAAGTTTCAGTGCCTGAGCCTCATCCAAAGGGAGAAAATTCAACAGCTGAAATTGTCAAGTCCAAATGACTTGACAATTCAATTCAATAGGTTTGTTACATCATTCACCTTCTTGCAAGATTTGTCTGTCCTAGAAAGTTTCATAGTTTACTCTTTTCTATGTGAAATAAAAGTTTGATAAATAACAGAAACAACAAGAGCTATAGAACAACCCTTGACATTTTATTTCACTCAAAAGGTGTGTTAGAAATAAAGGTCTGGACATTCCTTACATACTGTGAATCTGCAACATTTTCTCTTTTCATATTTGCTTTAATGCACTTGGGACACTGTATTCTTCTCCATTTGCAATGATTATTCCTGCTTTTGTGACTCAGAAAACGTGGGATGAACAGGAACAGGAATTTTACAGGACATTTCATGGACTTGATCATAATAAATAACCCACATTTGGTGATGTCAGAGTGAATACCCCAGTAATACATTAAATAAAGCAGCTCTGTAATTCAAACAGGTGCTAACCATTCAAAACCACACTACACACGATGCCTTTCTGTGCAGGTGAGCCAAGACTTGGCTTCTGGGAAGGGAAAATTCTGCTCAGCTCCAGCAACATGAGGGTCACCTGTGTGTGCCTCCATCCCACTCACATCAATCACTGCGTGCTTCCTCCTGATATATGGGAGCCATTGCAGCTATAATCCAGCTTTAACAAAACATTTTCACTTAATGAACGCAGACTTTTGGGGAAAATCATAACATTTACCACTCTCAATGTGGTAAATTTACCAGTCCCAATGGCTTTTGTTTTTTCCCTGTTTGGCGGAAAAATGTGGAAGGAAGGTGCTGGGCACAAACTGTCTCTGCCAGATACTGAATTATATCCCCTAGAAAGAGAATTTGAGCTTTTATTCTCAGATCTTTCTTGGAGGCAGTGTAATTGGATTCTCATGCTGCAGACAGACAGAGGGAACAAACAATGGAGGACATGTGTGGGATACCAGGGTGCTGATACTTGACTTGGGAGCTGGAAATAACTTCTTCAGACACACTAGGCCAGCCTTTCTGCAGTGAAGCCTGACATCAGAATTATTCACAGTGAATAACTGGGGAGGAGCTGCATGGCCTTGGGGCCAACTGCTGCACTGTAATGGACCATGTCCTTTCCTAGAGAGCAGCCTGGCTTAGCTGAGTGTCCCTGAGGAACTCCCCAGGGCCAGAGGAAGAGTGAGCTCTAGCTCAAAACAGTGTACCTGACAGGTTTACCATGACTTCTCTACTGTAGCTGCAATTATTTCCAATTCCATGTGCCAGACACCCCGAGAGGAGCAGCACACACAGCAAAGCACTTGAGGAGGGCAGAGGCAAGCTGTTCTCAGCTGAAAGGGCAGAGTTCTATTCTAAAACTTCAGTTTATTCCCCATGACTATCCAATGGCTGTGAGGTAAAGCCAAGGGAGTCTCTGTTGGCTCAGGACATGGAATTTGACATGCACTAATGCAGAAGATTGGCTCTTGGCAAAGAAGGCTCAGCAGACACAGAGGAGATGGGATGTACAGGTGACATGACATGGCAGCTGTCACTCATGGTCCCTCAGGAGACAGGAGTGAGCATTTCCAGGTTCAGGCAATGTTGGGGGTTTTTCACTTTCTAGAAGATTCAACACCAGAAGAAAAAGCCAGGTGGGTTTTCCAGGTGGGTTGTTCCAGAGCCAGCTGGCCCTGGCAAAGGGTGGGCAGCTGTTCCTGAAGCTTCTGTCAAGCCTTTTTTCTTTAGTTTGAAGGGTACTCCTCTGGAAGGGAAACTACTTTGAAGTTTTGAAAAATAAAAAAAAAAAACAAAAAAACCAAAAAAAAACCCCAAAAAAACCCCACCAAAAAAACACCAAAAAAACCCCACAAAAACAGACTGACTATACTAGCAGCTACAAATGTTCAGACACAAATCAAGAGCCAGGTCCTTGAATAAGTGATGCAGAAGATGAAGTATGATTTGAAAGGAAACATTTCTGAAGACAGGGATGCCATGAGCCCTGAACATACAGTCCCAAAACCCATCCATGAGCAGCAGCTTTCTTTTTGGAGAGAGTGACTGGAGAATAGGTGGTATTCTGAAAGAAATGCTGGTTTTTCACTGAAAATCTGAATGTATTAAAAAAAATTAAAAATACTTTGCTATATTTCAGGAGCAAATACTTCTCTAAAATAATAAAATTTCCAACTTCAGTCTCTCAGCCCAGAGCTCAGTTGCTGAGTTTGGGGTCTTGGCACAGAGCTGGAGGAGGCAATGCCTCCAGGGGACGTGGCCCTGTGCAGGGGTGCCTCAGGGAGGGCAGTGGTGCTCCAGGACAGTGAGAAGCAGAAAATGGCCTTGTCTCAGGTGTGGGGAGGTTGGCTCTGGAAGCAGCTCAGCCAAAAAATCAGCCCTCACCCCCTCCTGCCAGCACTCATTTACTTGCAGTGCCCTTCACATCCTTGCCAGTCTGGGCATCTCCCACCGGGACTCTTTTGCCCTTAAAGCATTCAGAGCCTTTTTCAGTGACTCTTATTCCCTCTTGGATTTTGTTTTTTCTTTTTGATTTCTTCAGATATTTCAGGGGCTAAGTTTTGGAAACAATGATGACGATCCCAGCTTGGGTCAGTTTGCATTCCTAGTATGAAAAGCATTTCTTGCATTCATCCCGTTCTCTCTTTTCAACTGCCCTTTATCTGACTGCTCCAGGAAAAGCAGAATTATCCATGGCTTTGTTTTCTCTCCTTACAGCCCCAGCTGCACTCACTACAACTCCTGGCTTGCAAGGG